ATTGTGTGAGCTGACTCCTCATGATATTTGTGCTTTAATTATTGGATACTCCTGTGGTTCTGTTCTTGGACTGGGGTGTCAGATGGGTAAGTGCCTTGTAAGTTGCTTCCTACTGGATTGGAAAGAGCACAGTGGTTGTGAGTTACTTCTCAGTTTCATGAGGAAGAATTCTTGCTTACAGTAACACAGAGTTACTTCCCTTCACTTTGGAGAGAGAAGAAATATGTGTGTCTTTCTGTCCGAATCTTTCTTTCTCCATAGCTGCATACACAGTGGATTGGCAGTGTAAATTGACAGTATGCCTTTTAGTCTTGTGTTCTGTTTGGTAGTCTTAAAACAAAAGGAAACCTTGCTTTACATCGGGCTTCCTAGTACTATGAAGATGGTACTAGTGGCATTCTTACGGAGTGAAGTTGCCACCTTCTGGATTGTATCCTTTAGAGTAACTGTAGTATATGCCTGAATCCTTTTACCAAATGGAATACTGATGATGGATGAGGTTTTCATAGGAGAGAACTGAGATAGCTTTAGCCAGCCAGTCAGGTTGGTGAATGACTAAGATTTTCTTTCCTGTTCGATTATTTGAAAGACAAATTAGAAAACAGGCAAACCAACATCAATACATAAAAACTAAGCTGCCTTTGATACGCAAAGGTGTTTTTAACCAATAATAAGGAAGTAAACAATATTCCTATAGAGCACCTTACTTGACTGTTTTTTGTTATCATTGGAAATTTAGTTTTCATCCTATAAAATATCAGTTCACTTTATAACTGTCAAGATAAATACAAGCATTTATATTTTTTCACGAGCTACTCTTTTTTTGTACATAATTCTATGTTTCGCTCTTTGCCCAAGGACCTGTTGAAATATTTTATGTTTAAGGAAGAATTGAAGGATGAATTTGAACCTGGCTTGTATGCAAATATAGCCAGATTGGTCTTTTTAAATGAACAGTTATTATGAAAAATTTTTCCAGAGAAGAATAGATAAAATTGTATGTGGGTGGGAAGATAAATGATAACATTTAAAATTGCTTATTGAAGCTATGATTTTGTTGAAATTAGAGTTTTTAGTATTCTTGCTTCTTGCCAATTATGGAATGGAAAGTAACCAATCTTCCTTTCTTTTTAACATTCTCTCTTGATAACATCTACTTGCTTTGTTTTAAATATGCCACTTAGTGAATAGGATGCATTCTCCAGTTTTTCTAGAGGTAGCCCTTAGTGTTATGTAAGTTGATGGCATAAAGTCTTTGAAGGAAAAAAATTGTAATTTTCTTCTAAAAGTGAAATAGTTAGTGAACTTGTTTCTTTAAGCCACGTGTGGATACATGAAGACTGATTTTTGCAAAGACGATATTATTGCTTATGACACTATCTTCTTTTAGCTAGAGATGAGCATTTGGAATTAGATATTTGAAATATAGAGAACATCGCACGATGAAATAAAAAGCTTATTAAAATGTGTTTGAGCCAACATAAAACTCTTTGAAACAGGATATCTAAATAGTGTGCATTTTATCTCAGAGAGAGAGAGAGAGAGAGAGAGAGAGAGAGAGAGAGAGAGAGAAGAGAGAGAGAGAGAGAGAGAGAGATTGATTTGGGTTATTTCTAATGTCCACAGTGCTCTGAAGCATATGTTAATAGAACTGACCATTTTGGATTAATTTGATGTGAATTAATAAGAGATTTATTTGATAAGAGTTGTTTGAAGGTGGTGATTCTTAAATTTCAACAGGGTTTAAGATGTCCAAAAATATCTTTAAAGATTCGGGAACAGTGGATTCAGAGAGAACAAATTAAATAAAATGGATAGCAAAGAACAGGATCTGACATTGAGTTTATGAAGTTTGATACGGTTTACAAAAAAAGAGTTCTACCATTGAAGTATGGCCCTGAAATCTGAAGAAATAGAAATACTTAAACTCCTTCAGTAATTCTTGGATTTGTGAATTGGGTAAACAATGTCTCTTGCATTTTATAGTTCACTTAAGCAATCTGATTTTGATCTGTGTATATGGAGTAGACAGGATTCAAGTGTTTTTCCCCCAAACCAATGAGCAGACACATATGTTCTTTAAAACTGAACTTTGTATGTTGTTCATATGGAAGCTATCTAGCTTGCTATAGGCCTAAGACTTGACCTTCCTTTTATTTTGCTATCATTTGCTTAATTCTTTAAATTCTTTGTGGGGGACTTTTGATCAAAAGGAACATTTTGCTTTTCTCTTTTCTTTCTTTGTAATTTCTTAAAAATAAAAGCTATATGAAGTGTGTAATTAATCTCAGTGCTCCTAGGCTGATGATACAAGCGAGCAGGGGAGAGAACATAGATCCACAAAGGAGAAGATCACCAGGACTTTTTTCTTTGTGTTAAGCTTTGATTTCAAGCACTTGAAAGTTTTATTATCTAGAAAAACAAAAAGAACATGTCATCTGGCATTATATATTATGAAAATAAGAGCTGCTACTTATAATAAAAATCATGTGCAGCAGGATTCGAGACTGAGGTCAGATTACACAATCTTTGCCCCCCTAATTTTTTACAGTCTTGTTCAGAATATATACATGTACGCACACACACCACACACATACACACACACACACACATGCACGCACGCACGCACGCACACATGCGCGTGCGCAGTGACATTTGGGAAGTGATTTTTTTCTTTTAGGAACAGGAGTTCCTTATGATTGTTTTCTGTGCTCTTTAACCAAACCTTTACTCTTTTAAGCTAATGACAATTAAATTGATCTTTCTTGGTGTGGTTGATACTGGACATACATTTTTAATACTTGAATTTTAGGGGAAATGGATAACTGAGCAAATGGTATGCATTAGTATTTAGGCCATCCTTAGTGGTTGGTGGTTTAATATTTTATAGTCTTCGGGTGAAATTGGACAAAGGTTTTCAAAGGTAAAGCTAAAGTGTTATTAACCAGAACGATTACAGAGTCACAGAGTCAGGGAGAAGTTTAGAAATAATTTATTCCCTCGTTATACAGATAAGAACAGAGACTCAGAGTGGAAAGGACCTGCCCTTGCTCACATAAGCATGTGATTTGAATCACGTCCAGCACTGGACATGTGATTTCTACTGTTCTTTCTTCCTTCTTAGGTTTTTGCTCTGTAAGGTCAATAGTCTATAAAGGACATCTGTAATTTATACATCTTACCTTCAAGTGGTTTCTTGTCTAATGGAATTAAAGGCTGGTTCTTAATCTGCATTGGGTGGCTGGGTGATGTCAGTTTCTTTTAAAATTTTTGTGATAGTTGTTTTCTTTAGGTGAATAATATATTCAATCATCTCTTCTAAGTTTATTCAGAGTATTTCATAAATGTGTGTACATATATTTATATATATGCATATGCATAGTTATAAACATATTTATATAGGTTGACATGTCTATTTATGTTTACATATATTTAATGTATGTGCAGACATATGAAATATAAATAAATCATTAGTGAGTTAATTCACAGTATCCAGATATAATCAGAAACTCAGATTCCGTTGGCTGTGAAATTACCACCCTGAGAACATAATCCTGCCTTTTACAGAAAATTGTTTTCATATATATATATATATATTTCACAAATATATATATATATTTAAGTATTTTAATCAGTGAGACCCAGTAGCTATTAAGCTATTTTAAGCTCTAATGCTGATTATTTTCACTGCTTAAATCTAAGTAATACTGGAAAGTAGACGTAGTACCCTCTCCTATTGCCTTTTTTTTTTTTTTTTTTTTAAGTAATAGTAAACACTTTCTAAGAATGCAAACGAAGCTTTTAGATTTATTTATTTATTTTTTGGTACCAGGCTTGAACTCATGACCTGGCGCCTGCTGGGCAGGCCCTTATGCCACTAAGCTAAGTTCCCAGCCCCTTAGATTTAATTTTGATAGAACAGTTAGGAGTAGAGGTTTATGTTTTATGCAGATGTGATCGTACCTTATACCTCAGAATTGAAAAGCTAATGGGGCATTTTGCAGAAGCTGCACGTAGTTTTCACCTCTGTGCATGCGCTGGGCATTTGCTCAGTTATCCATTTCCCCTAAAATTCAAGTATTAAAAATGTATGTCCAGTATCAACCACACCAAGAAAGATCAATTTAATTGTCATTAGCTTAAAAGAGTAAAGGTTTGGTTAAAGAGCACAGAAAACAATCATAAGGAACTCCTGTTCCTAAAAGAAAAAAATCACTTCCCAAATGTCATTGCGCACGCACGTGTGTGCGTGCGTGCGTGCATGTGTGTGTGTGTATGACCAGCTGTTTAAGCGGTCTTCCTGTGTTTGTGTGAGTGGAGAGTGACTTCAGTTTACACAGAGCTCACTATTAGAGTCAATTTTTATCTCACAGTTACACAGAGGATTTCAAGGAGCTACTCAGAGCCTTGTGGTTTCTCAGCCCCTCTTTGTCCTGTTGGCCTTCAGCTCTGTGGTCTCTGGTGGCCATTAGAGTGGACCTCCTTTAAGGTGGCATCTTGAACTCTTCCACTTTTGTAGTCTGTATGAGGCGGAGAAACTGCTGGGGAGCAGAATGACACTGTTTAAAATAGAATTGCCGCCGCTGATGCCTGAGGATCCGTCACATGGTTATGTATTTTAATGACTTAAATTTTCCCTCACAAGCCCTTGCTGGTGTTTACAAAGTAAGATTCTCTCCCCTCGACCTTAGGGTAGGTAAGTATCACAGTCGCTGGGGTTGGGGGGAGGGAGGTTGTGGTCAAATAACTTCACCAGCATCACGGCCTCTTGTGAAACTGATTTCATGTCTTGTGATCTTTTTATCATCTTCCTCCTCCTGCTGCTTTATTAAAATCCAAGGGAGGAGAGGACCCTGCTCAAGGTCTGCTCCTGTTTTTATCAGATGTTTTTCCAGCAGCTCAGGGTGCTGGCGTATTAATGTATTTTAGGTGCAATACCTTAAGAAGTATGTTTGCATCATTTGGGAAGGAAAAAAAAAATTTTTTTCTTTGTTTTGCAGATACACAGCTCAGCTCTCAGAATGTCTTCTGTGTCCTCCCAGCGTTTCTAAGACAGTCACATTAGCTTCCTGCTAGTTGACTAATAGAACTAATAATTGTAAAAAGCACTCTAAAGCCACATGCCTTATGAAGTCAATGCTGGGTATGATTTTACAAGTATGTGATCTATTTTTTTTTTTTTCAAGTGAAAATGTTAACTGGAAAAGTTCTTGGCAGACAGTAAAACCTCATGCAATCTGTTATTTGTCTTACAGATAATAACTGGAGGGTGGCTCTAGTCTTATGGTATCTAACTTATGACTTGCTAGAGGAGTTTCTTCCACTTGAAAGTATTGTAAATGTGCTTGTATTTACATAATATGTCACTCTGAAAAATTATGATCATATAATTCCAGTAGGAATTACTTTTCTATAACTACTTCAAAGTATAGTCAACTAAATTAGGCATTTAAAAAAAAAAAAAAAAACAGCAACTAAAAAGTACATACCCTTACTCCCACAACACAGAATAGAACCCAACTGAGCTTTCTGATAGTGCCTTGAAGTTTTAGCAGTTAACCTTCTTTGCAATGTGTATTAGTAAGGCCTTTATTCAGCATAAGGAACCAGTGAGTCATCCGTTTTCTAAAGATCTGTTCTTGGGTGAAAGAGGGAAGTGAAATTTGGAAAGATGGTAGCTTAATTAAGTCGTATTTTTCCTCTAAGGCACTAAGCATTTTGGTTGAACAGTTTTGAAAGTTTGACCCATTGCACCTCTTTATGATAATGCTAAATTAATAAGATCTATAACTTTCCCATGTCCTGAAAAATAATCTTAATTTCTTCCCAATTTTAACGTATTTCAATACATTCATTTTAAATTTAATTTAGTTCTCTGGCTGTTTAAATTGTTGTCATTTTCCCAATCACCTTGACATTAACCTATGGGCATAAACCGTTTTCTCTTCATTTTGCTGGAAGGATAACATTAATGAATCATTTCTTTAGACATTCTGCTTTTCACATAGGATTTTAATTTTTTAACCTTATTATGTAGGTGAGTCAGAGCTTAGTCATGTTATTGAAAAAATTGAAAGACAAACTACAGTTATTCAGTATTTGTCAAAGGAAATAGTATAGTGTCATGTGTAATGGAAAAGAAAATCATGAAATTATAGAGAGAAAGAAGTATATACATCACATTTTCGTAGGTGGGAATGCTTGATACTCAGCAATCCTTTTGTGTTGGCCAAATTAAATGCAAATATAAAGGTGTGCGCATGTGCACCCTCCCCCCAGTTTTTGGGGGGATCTCACTGTGTTGCTCACACTGTTCTCAAACTCCTGGGCTCACTGTCCTCCTCCTCCAGTCCCTGATAGCGGAGACTGTAAGTGTTTGTCATTGTGCCTAGCTCCAACAGTAGAGTTTGCTTAAACTTTAGTTTAACTGATGATCCATTTCTTAAATTTCCTTTGTCTTTTTTCTCTTTATTTTCCCCTTTGTTGGCCACTGATAAAATCATTTTGAGTCTCCCACGTGTTACCCTTTCTAAAGTGCCTGATTCCTTTGAAGGAATAGAGGTCTCCTAAACCATTGCCATCAACATGTAAGACATTAAGAGGTGAGCACTGCAGAAATACAAACAGTGCGACTTGTGATGCCCATTCCCTGGGTTTGTTAATTTTGGTCCCTGTAAGGTGGCACCAACGAGAGGAACACATAGTCCCTCCCCCAGAAGTCCAGGAAGGGTGACATCCTCCGAGAACCATCACTCATTTCATCTTGGAATTTTTTTTTTTTTTTTTTTTTTTTTTTTGTGCTGAGAGGGAGATTCTTGGCTCTTTGATGGACGATGTTATTGGTGTATTAGAGGAGTAGTATCCTGGTTTAAACAGGTGTACTGTTGTCAAGATTATTCACTAAGGTGAGTTTCTACCTTGTAAATGTTTCCTTATACAACTACTGCATTATCTTTGGCTGGAGAGTCACACTATTAAAAACAAAATTCTGCTTGACCAGCTTTTCAAAAGCAAAGATACGCCCATCTTTCCCAAGCCAGTCTGGTTCCTCAGCACCTGTAACAAATTACAGACAAAAATGACTAATACCATGTTATTAATTTGGATTTTCCCTGCACATTTTGGATAATCATTGTGTAATGAACTCTTACTAAATTGGTATTCTTAGCAGTCTGCTACGAAAGAGATGTTGTTTTACTAGAAATCGACATTTACAGATGTTTGGGGTTGTGCCTTAGATAACATTTGAAGGTTTTCCTGCCGAGTCTTTACGGAACCCATGCCATGGAACCCCATTTGATTAACCATTGCTAGCGCGTTCTCTTACTGATAGAATACACATTGCTTCTCCATATCCTTAGGGTTCTGATTCATTAGATTGCTGTGGAGGAATCTGTCCACAGGATTCAGCTTTGACCTCCGTTGATGATGTCACTATCCAGAAAGACACAATTGAGCTACCACACGAAGGGAAATCATAGGATCCTGCTGAGTCTTTGCCATTTTCAGCTGCAGCATGCTGGTGTTGTGTGCCTCAGCATGAGGTCACCTTCCACTGTACCCCTGGGGTTCATTGCAGGCTGTGTGTAGTGTGCCTTGGCTTGGTTTGCTTTGCCATCATGGTAGACACAATCTTGTTGAAACCAGGTCCTCCTCATTTTCAGGAAAGCTCTCAAAGTGTCTTAAAGAAATTGGTTGGCAGCTCAGAGATGAAATGTTCATTATCCTCCATTTCCTGAGAGTAATAGCGGGACTCTAGGAGAGCATTTTGGCTGCAAGAGTGTAGTTTGGTTGCCCAGTGTAATCAAACTATAATTGATGATGTTTACCTATATCTCTGTGTAGCATGTACACATATAATATGTATTCCATCAACAAAAGCATGTGTATATATTCTATAACAAGTATACATATTATATATAATCCACAAATGTGTATGAGTGTATGTGCATTCATTTATCATCTATTAAAGCTAAAGAAAGAAATTGGGCAAAAATGCAGTTGGTAGGGAAGGCTAATAATAATGATAGAGCCAGGAAAGATAATCGTCCTTTAATATTCATAAATCTTTTTAAATATTGATGAGACGGTCTGTGACAAAAATAATTCCACCTGTAAATTGTTTGCTTGAGTTTCAATTTCTTGCTATTTTTAAGACTGATAGTTCTGCTGGAGGAAATATTTTATTATACCCCTTAGAAAATCTTAAATAGAATGAGTAAAGTATTCTACATTTGATTACATGTCCATGACTTTCAAATAACCCTGCTCTGCCTTGTCCGTGTATTTTTGCAGATATGGTCCGGAAAAAGAACCCCCCTCTGAGAAACGTTGCTAGTGAAGGCGAGGGCCAGACCCTGGAGCCGATAGGTGCAGAAAGCAAAGTATCTGGACAGAACAAAGAATTTCCTGCAGATCCGATGTCAGAAAATACGGATCAGAGCAATGCTGCAGAACTAAATAATAAAGAGGAGCATAGCTTACATGTCCAAGATCCATCTTCCAGCAGTAAGAAGGAGACCAAAAGCTCAGTCCTGGGTGAGAAGGCTGGCTTCAATTATGAGAGCCCCAACAAGGGAGGAAACCTTCCATCCTTTCCGCTTGATGAGGTGACAGACAGAAATATGTTGGCTTTCTCATCTCCAGCTGCTGGAGGAGTCTGTGAGCCCTTGAAGTCTCCTCAAAGAGCAGAGGCAGATGACCCTCAAGATATGGCCTGTACCCCAGCGGGGGACTCATTGGAGACAAAGGAAGATCATAAGATGTCACCAAAGGCTACCGAGGAAACAGGGCAAGCGCAGAGTGGTCAAGCCAATTGTCAAGGTTTAAGCCCAGTTTCAGTGGCCTCAAAATACCCACAAGTGCCTTCAGATGGGGGTGTGAGACTGAATAAATCCAAAAGTGACTCAGTGGTGAATGACAACCCAGATCCGGCACCTCTGTCTCCAGAGCTTCAGGACTTTAAATGCAATATCTGTGGGTATGGTTACTATGGCAACGACCCCACAGATCTGATTAAGCACTTCCGAAAGTATCACTTAGGACTGCATAACCGCACCAGGCAGGATGCTGAGCTGGACAGCAAAATCTTGGCCCTTCATAACATGGTGCAGTTCAGCCATTCCAAAGACTTCCAGAAGGTCAACCGTTCCGTGCTTTCTGGTGTGCTGCAGGACATCAATTCTTCCAGGCCTGTTTTACTAAATGGGACCTATGATGTGCAGGTTTGTGCTTTATATTGTGGTCTTTTTGTCCAGGAAAAATTACCCATAATGAAATGTGAGTTTTCACACCAAGGTCCCCAGACCCCGATGGGCAGCTTTGTAGCTGCAACACAAGAGCTGGATATGCCCATGACTGCCTTGGCCAGAGGGTTTTCAGAGTTGTCTTTATCCCCTGTAATAGGAAAACTCCCAGCGTTTCTATGGGGCTGAGAAAAGCTTTTGCACAGGACTAGCTAGCTTTCATATTTCTAGACATGTTTCATGCTAGCTGGATATTTTCACAGTCTTCCAAAAACAGCACTAATCTTATGGCTGTGCATGATAATAATTCATTCCTTGTTCTAGTTTCTGATTAAGGCTTCTGCTATAATTTTTCCTCTTATGAAGATCTTTTCTGTCTCTTGGATGAAGATTCGATTTTGTAGTAGTGAGCTTGACTGGACTTGTGTCGTATTGATGGTTACAGAGTTAGTCTCCTGAAAAAACAAAATAATTGCAAGTGAAATTTTAGAAATAACATGATGGTTATTGAGACATATGTATGAAAAAGCAAAATAAATATAAATGAAAATAGAAAAATTATCTTCTAGACTGGTGAAAAAGAAGTTAAGATTATAAATACTAGGAACACCAGAATAAACTTGGTAGGTCAATAAAACATTTCTTTCTGCATTTAAGGAGAAAGGTAATAATTTATGAAAACACTTAGTAATGATTTAGTTTTGTTAAAACTAGCATATTTTTAAATATACTTTCCTATCTTATTTTACAGTACATTTCAATGAAAAAAAATGTTACTATTTGAAGTAGAATGAAACATGGAACTGATTCTAAGGAAACGTATTCATTTAGGTTTAGCCATTTTTGTGTAGTTGAAACATGGTCAGTTTGAGAAAGTTTTTGTTGTGACCTGTAGGTTTTTGTTGCACTTCTGTCAGGCAGATATCTAAATATTGTTTAACATTAATCTTCTTTAGGAATAACTAGAAGTATCAGCGCACTGATGAAATCATACCACACTTATTTGCAATACTAAATATTTTGAAATATCATACTAACTTAATAATCATAGCACATTTGCTGTGATCTTTCCATTGACCTGAAGAAAGACAAGCAAAGGGGTTACAAGTAACACATAGTGAAAGTATTTTACAATCCCTATAAGAAGAACCAGAAGAGAAATTTCTAAGTTCTTTGAATGTCAGAATGGCAATCTTTCCATATTAAGAGAGATACGAAGGACTCTTACAAAGCCAGTTTCGTCGCTGGTAAAGCGCTCTTAAAAAATCTGCCTTACTTTGTGAATTTCCACAAATAGAATCATTTCTGTGGAGAAGCAAATTAAGCCAACGTAGTTATTATGCATGAAAGCTACATGCTTTGAACTGCTGTCTTATTAAAGATCATTTCACTGTCTTATGTCAGATACACTCTGCTGTCAGACTATGATTGGAAAGCAAATACGCGTTTTAGATAAAAGGGTTGGAAGTGAATATGTCAGTATGGGAAACGGAGTTTTATAATTAGCAAGTAATATGATGTTAATACCTGGATTTCCGGCAGGAGTCTTACTTGTTCACTCTGGGGACAGCTTCTGAGGGAAGCTGATCGCTGCTGTCAGAAAGACTCTTAAAAGGAAGATGACTAAAGGCCTCTTGTTGGGAAGAATTCAGAGGTTTAAACACACTTCCATTTCCCCCCAAACAGTTATTTGTTAGATTCTTAGTTATTTATAGTAAAGTTTATGTTTGGGTAGAACACTTTTCCTGGGCAGTGATTTTTAGAAATAAAACAGATGTGTGAGCTATCTGAATTTGAACTAATAGAACGAGAAATAAAAAGCTGATCCTGGGCTCTGCTGCCCACTAAATCCTGGCAGCCTGCTTGGTAAAGATAAAAAGTGATAGGAAATACCATGCAGAAGATACTCCTGTTATGATTAATTCTTTTTCAGGAGCTAATACTATGACAAATGGAAGAAAGCAATCCATGGAAAAAAACCAGTGATTATTTCAAATGAATGATTGGATTTTGAAACAGGTCTAAAAAGAGTTGACATTTGCTGGGTATGGTGCTGTGTGCCTGTAATCCCAGGACTCGGGAGGCAGAGGCAGGAGGATTGCTGTGAATTTGAGGCCAGCTTATGCTTCATAGTGAGTTCAGGGACAACCTGGGCTACATCGTGAGATCCAGTCTCAAAAATGAAAAACAAAACCCAAAATAAATAAATAAAGAAAGAAAGAAAGAAAGAAAGAAAGAAAGTTAACTGCCATATCCAAAGATAATGCTGCCTATATTTACAAAATACAAATTTTGAGCACTCTGTCCATACACCAGATATTGATGTTCCAACGTGTCTGTTGATAAGTAACTCATTAATATTTTTGTGCTGAAATAAATACTGAGCAGCTCCTTTACTTGAAAAATAAAAGCACATGCGAAATTCTCCTTTTTTCTCCATCTGTGCTGTGCTGCAGAAGTGCTATTTGACAGATTCTTTCTTTTGCATTTGAACTATTTGGAGACTGAAAGCTTTCATATAGAAAATGCTGCCTGTTGAATTTCTTTAATGTAGATTTTTTTTTTTTTTTTGCCACAAATGTACATAGTGCGTTCATGATCTGACTCTTTTGATTGCATGATGCAGATAAACATCAGTATTATAGACGTAATTTCAGGAATTATTTATATAAATCTATAATTTAAGTTAATTGGAGGACTAGATGAGCAATTCATTAATCCTTTTCAATTAAAGTGCATTTTTTAACCGTCAGAGCAGTTGCTAGCTAATGATAGATTTATGACATTTTAGGCCAAGAAAAAAGGAACAGAAGCCAGAAGTAAGAAAAGAACTTAAAGAACTCTGTGGCTTTGATCTATATTTTGGTTTGACAAGGATGGTTTTAAATAATTTGAACCGACTTGAATGCAAATGTGAAATATACGATTGGGGAAAAGGAGTCATTTAAACAACTTTGAAGCTTTGGTATATAAATTATAAATTTATATATTTGGAGAAATTAATGAAATTTAAGTGATTTAAAAATTGTACTAATGTGCTTTTCTATGTATATTTTCTAACAAATGCCTGTGGTTAGCATGCTGACCAGAGTGTAGAGTGTTTATAAATATAATTTTATGAAATAATATAAAGTTATTAGTTTGGTGAAGGTTCCCTTAAATAGCCATCATAAAATGAACGCTGTCTATTTTTTTCTTTGTACTGGGGATCGAACTCATGACCTCACGCTTTCGAGGCAGGTGCTTACCCCACTGAGCTAGATCCCCGGCTATACTGTCTTCTTACATTTTTGAATTTATGAGTTTTTCTCTCATACACCTTTATGTGGCATGCCCAGCCCTGAAATCATAAAATGTCATTTCTTTACCAAATAAGACAAGAAAAGATACAGTGGCTAGCCCAGGGCTAATTTTTGCCTGGATGTTACTTTCTCAATTTTTCATATTCCTCTCGTGGTTTATCAATTGTTAGGCTTACATTTAAAAAAAAATAATGGCCACGACATGATAGGGAAGCCCTTCATGTAATTTTTTACTATCTGTATTCAGCCTTTGAGGCTTACATGTCCACCAATAATAGGACAAGAGATTGAGTTCTTAATAAAAGTAATTACAGCCTCTTTCTTTTTAATCTGCTTTATTAAGCTTATATTTAAAGCATCACTGAATGGAGGGCTGCATTTGAAACTCAGACTGGGCTGTTTCATTAGGGCTTAATGTGCTGTGCGTTAGGGCGTTTGCATCATCTTTATAGGGAAGCTTTTAGCTCTCAGATCGGGTTATAAAAGTAGGAGTCCTGTCTAGCTGTACTTCCCACGGGAAAGTGTTTACACTAGCCAAGTTTATGAACGCTCATGATGTGCATTGTTGTCTCTCCATATTCTAAATCTTCGCTATTATAATGCATTATTCAGGACTTCCAAGAGGTAGCTACTGGATTCCAGCTATTATGTTTGTTTTGGCCTTCAATGAAATTCTAAGGGTAATAGAAGAATCACATTAGTGCTTTGCCAGGGACTGTCTTCCTTGAACTAGGAAAGCTGCATTTCTGTTTTGTAAATAGTTTTTTAAAAATCAGAGTTGTGCAACATGTCATGTTAGAAACAGGAAGAATAGATTTAGAGATAGGAAGTCATCCTTTGCATCTGCATTTTCAGCATATTTAACTGTGTGAGCTTTAAAGATCCTTAACTTATACCTGATAGTACTTTCATTTGAACAGGAGATTACAGTTAGGTCTGAAAAAAAAAAAAAAAAGAAAAAAAAAAAAAAAACCTCAGGGAACATTAATCTCATTGTGGTTTATTTTGACTTGTCTTGAATTTTACTTCCAAATATTTATTTTTTGCCTTGGAGTTTCCTTTGATCTGCAGTAGGAGGGAAGTTGTAGATCTTAGCGGGTTCTGTTTCTTTGTTTTTTCTGAGTTTAGGACAATTGCACTTTAGAAAAACTGGAGAATGAGACTTTAATCAATTCGGACTGTCTGCAGAGTACAGAATGTTTAGCATATGAACCTATTCTTATTTCCAGGGCTGTGTCTCTTTAACAAGTAATAAAGTGTGCAAAATAAAACATATGCTTACCCCAGGGCCATAAAACAAAGCAAAATTCTGACATTTCCCAGGTCATTTTCATCAGTGGAGATGGCAGAGCTGGATAATGTAGCCACCGAGGTGGAGCAGTTAGACGGTCTTCGATAGTCCAGCTACCTGCCCGACAATTAAATTTCCATTTGGCCCTGTTACATGAGAGCTGGTACAATAAATGTCAATACCTCTTTGATTTTTAGTTTATTTGTTATCATTCAAAGAGTGTATTACCATTTTCTAGAATATCAATGTTTCTCTCCAGGCAGAATGTTTAGAAGAAAAAAATTATGGTTATCAGTGCAGCCAATCGAATTTAGCATTATTCAGCTCTTAATAAAAATTTTATCTCTCAAATGGCCTGCTTTGCTGACCATATCAAGCCAGCAGAT